TATGCATCCCATAATTCTTTTTTCAGGAATAGTTGCCAGTATTTACACAGCAGCATTTCTTCTCAGGCTTATTGGGTGCTGTTTTGCTTTCTGTGTACTAAGGAAAATGTCAAACCAGTGCATTGTGTTCTGGCAATGGGTGCAGTCATTGATGTTCATATGCCTTGGGGTAATATATTCCTTAATTTTCCATGTGACTTAACAGTTTAAAAAAAAAAGAAAGCGCAGGATTAGAACATTAACGACTAGAAATAACAATTTTAAAGCTATTTTGGCACATTGATTGTAAATTGTGTCCCAGTTGTAAACTGAGTTGATGGGAGTTGCACAAGATTCATGCATATGTGTAGAAAGTCATATTGCGATAAAGGTAGTATGAGCAAACTATTATTGCACAGGGTCAACAAAAAATATGTTGCCATTTGAAGTTAACGTTACTCGTTTTAATACAATATTACCTCTTTTGTTTTTATAAAATGTCCCAACTTCTAAGTTGATGTGTTCATTTTGGTTTTTAATCAAAAATGTCTCCTGCCAGTATTACATGTTCTTTCTGATAACTTTCGAGGGAGGATAGCCAAAGAGTGGACGGAGGAAGAATATTTTTACGCTATGGTTATTCAGTGTACAGCATAAACCTTCTTCTCTTAAGATTACAGTTGACCACCAAAATAAAATTAAGTAACGTAAATGACAGAGTGGTTTAAAGGTTACTACCTGAGTTAGTATTTTCTTATCACGTTACTTATTTGACTCTTTTTTTTTTTTTTTTTTTTTTTTTTTCTGCTCTCCTTGACATGGTGATTTTTTGTTTTATTTTTTTTGTCGCCTTTTAGCCAAGGGAAGCTCTTAATCCTGTGCTTGGTTTATGACTGGCTGGGTAATACTAGCTTTATAAAATTGCTAACTAAAAGCTGCCACCTCTGTTTTTCTTCACTGAAATGTTGATCTTTTTCCCCTCATACCCTCAGCTATTAATTTAATGTTGCCTTGCCTGTAGCTGCAATATTTTGATAACACGACATCTTTCATGTTAATTTTTTGAATGTTTATACATTGGGATAATGCAAAATGTAAAGCCTTCGTAACCTTACTCACACCATCTGTATTTGTCTATTTCACTTTATTCAAGTCCTTTAATTCTAACTGAACACCAGCAGTATTTTCAGTAAAGCTTCAGCATTTGAAGATAAATATTGGAATGTACTTGGGGACTTTAGCTGGGGGTGTGGGGAGGGGAATATTTGTCAAACTGTCCGTAGACTTAATATTGTGAATGTCATTGTTTCATTTTATTATTATGGTTGAATTGACTCTGATGTTCAGTTTGTAATTTTGGAATTGCTTTTTTCTTAGAATTAAAGTCCAACTTTAAATGTGTGGGGGTTTTTTTGTTTGTTTTTTTGAGAGAAGAATGAGTTTTGAGTCTGTATTCTCGTGCAGTACATACATGTGATTTCCTCCTGTCCATGGTTCCTCTGCTCTGGCTTGCCTGTTGCTCTCCTAGAAATTCTTGCCCTGCGCATAGATACTAACTGGTCTTCCACCTGCACCTGAGAGATGCTTTGTTGCAAGGTGTTATGAACTGGAAAATGCTGCAGTGGTGCTGCTGAAGCTATTACTAGAGTAGTACAAATGGCTTTCTCTCATTTCGTGAATCTTATTGTATGTAATAATGGAGTGGAAAAATACAAATGTTGCTGTATGTAATAATTTTCTTTTAGTTTAACTTGATCATTTTATGTATGCATGTGTGTAAATATATGTAACTCAGCTTTGTTGCAGTCACTGATTTAGAACCTTTCCCTTGTGTACCAAATATGATATTTTTTCCACTTTGTATTATTTGTATTACTGTAATATTTAGATAGGAGAAGTCTGTTTTGAGGCCATCCTAAAAAATGTAGGCATCAGATAAACAAGAAAACAAAGAAATCATGACACATTGCTGGTCCAAACTGAAATAAACATCATAGCAAACTATTTGTCAAATCCTTGTTCAGAACAGAAAATTGAAAAGGCACTTTTGTTTGTCTTTGCCATGAAGAGGAATTTTCTGTGCTTTTCCATTTATAGCAGGCGTTTTGTATGAGCTTACTAGGAAATTTTGTAAGGTCGTTCAGTGAGATAAGGTCAATGTTAATATTTTGTTTTAGTACGAGAAATCCAAATGAGGTCTCAAAGGTGAAGAAAAGCAGTTTATTGTCTTGCAAGGAGGAAAGATGAGTAGATCAATAGAAAAGTGCCAAGCTTTTGAAACGTCTTACTGAAGTGATCTTTAGTGTTGTATTTTAAAAGGAAATTGGTCTTCAGATGGAACATACCAAGGCTGGAGATGGAGCAGTAGTCAGAACACAATGATAAGGATGAACTGGACAAGAGCATCTGTTCTGTGCACTGAGGGACAAGGATGGATCTTGCAAATATTATGCAGGTAACATTTTCAGGCTTTAAACTGTGTCACTTCTCTAGTTCCCAGATGTCTACCTGAATGAGAAGTAACTTTGCAGTTAAAGATATGATGGCAGAAAATGTTTTCTAGAAATGGAGAAAAGGGTTTAGTGTAGAATTTTGCATTTAGTCAGTGTGGAACCTTATGCCTAAGTACCTCTGTGGAGGCGTCAGGTCTGTTCAGATCCTAGTTAGGACAGAAAAAAGTGGGAATGAGTGAGGAAAAATGTTCAACCCAAAGTTTATGGGAGAATTGTTTTGGAAATTGGATCAATTACCTGTAGGTAACTATAAGAAGAAAAGGGGAAAGAATCCTTTGAAGTTGATGAAGAGAGTTGAAAGGGGAATGACCATCTTTTGAAAAAGACTGTACAGGGCAATTAGAAAGACAAAAAGATGAATAGAAGCGGAAGCTGTGCGTAAGTGTGAGAATGAAGTTGGAATTCATTGTTACTGATATCTCCATCTTTCAGCAGTTATGAAGTAGAATTTTGTACTGTCATTTCACTTGAACTTCTATGGTTTTTATCCTGTCAAGAATGCATTGAGTGTAGGGTTTTTTTGTTGTTGTTGTTTTGTTGTTGTTGTTGTTGTTGTTGTTGTTGTTGTTTTTAAGTTCCTGTTATATATTTCTGTTTCTGCTATTGTTTTGGGGTTGTTCTTGACATACATTGAAACTTTGGTCTTTCATTTGGGGCATAATAGTGGTTTGGCCATGACCATGAAGTGCAGAACTGAAAGCTAGCTCATCTGTATTGTTTTTAGTTGGTCGGTGGGTTTTTTCTTTCCCCAGATTTCTGCAGTGATTCCATACACGTGAGATCAAGTTGTTCTGATTCTTGTTCATACCAACATACTTCGCTTTGCATCTGTGTGCATTGTATGCACATACGTACGTACATGTGTTCAAATTCCCAAGTCCTAGAAACACAAGAACTTAGATTGTATTTAATTAAAATGAAAATTTATTATTAATGAAGTCTTTAAATGGGCTATGAAATGCTTATTAAAAAGCCGTTGAAGGATTGTTTAAAAAAAATAAATATCAATTCAGTTTTTACCTTTCCCTGCTTTTTGTTTTCTGTTTGTGGTAATGAGCCTGGCTGGTATATATGCTCACATGCCCCAGAGTTGCAGAGAAGTGCCCGCTGGCACCTCGGTGTGCTTCATCTTCCCAGTCTTGTGTCATCGTGTGGAAGGGAAGTCGCTGGGATGAATGCTTTCAGGAGAGACAGCACAAGTGAATAATGGTTGAAGCATCATTTCTCTGTGTGTTTATTAACTCTAGTACTTCAAACTAGAAGAAACAGCTGTGTTCTGCAATCTCAAGAGCTGCAAAATCACGACAGTAAGATTTCAAAGCTTTTTAACTTCCTTAACATACCATGGTCATTTTGCATTGGTAACACTACTTACACTTGGCTACCCTACTTTTAAATGCTTTCTGCCAGAAGATTGCTGCAGTCTGACTGCCTATCAATATTAAAATTTGGCTCATTGATTACTTAATTTAAGCCACTGTGACTTTTCTCAAAGGTAAATGTAAGAGCAGATGAGTAAAAGAGTAATGTAAATGTAATTTTACTTTTAACTGGAAATCTGGTTTTTAACCAAGACCATTTTTGTCATCTTTTTCAGAAGACCATCTGCAACTGTAATCTTTCTGTCTTAACTAGGACTATTTTTAAAAAACACTGTCAAAATTACTTGTTTCATAGTAATTAAGTGAACAGTAAATTCTTCATCTATCTCAAGCATTTAGTTGCATTTAGGTTTTTCTTAACTATGGCAGCTGCTAATAAATATTAACAGAAGCTGAAGGTCTCATTGCCTGTGTAAGTGGAAGCCATTCAGTTCTGGGTGTATCTAGTGAACTGCAGGAGCAATACGGGATGCCACTATTTATCAAGGAACAAACTTAAAAAATTAAGACATACAACATGCCTTTAGTACCTTCAAAACTAAGTGTTTCTGTTGCTTAGAGGTTTGTGTCAAATTTTGATCTGGTATTTGCATTGATGAAGTTGATTTTGGGTTATGCTGATGGAAAAAAAGAATTTGAACAGTGCCTTATTCATCCGTATGAAGGTTAAAATGACCTGTAAAACAGCATGATGATTGATTCTAACAGCTGATGAAATCAACTGCCTGCTGCTTGTACTTAACCAAGAAGTAAATGAGGAAAAGAAAGGGCGCTGCTAGTTCTAAATGCTAGTCAAGAATATTTGTTTTCAGCTATGCAAGACTGTGATCTGGAGTATCTTTTCAACTTGTGGCCACCTCATCTTGGAAGGACAGCAGCCTAGAACAAGTGCAAAGAGAAGTAAAATTATTTTTGGGTTAGAGCAAGGGCTTAGTTTAAGGGAAACGAAAAGAAAAATACCTAACTGGCCTGGAGAAAAATAATGTTACTGACAGTTAAAAAATAAATCATGAAGGTTGTGGATAAAATGAATACACAACTGTTACTGATCCAGTCTTACAGCACATAGAGTGAAGCTAGTAGACTATTTAAAATGGGATCTAGATGTATCAGATCACAGACAGTGCTAGGCTTGCATATGCTGTACAACAGCACCTTCTGTTTTTGAAACAGGAGACTGAGCTAGATAAAACATTTCCTCTGAACAAGTGGGGTTCTTCAGAGCCCTTATGGTCCCCTCTCTGAATGTCTTTTTGGCTACTGGAACAAGTTACAAGGAGAGGCTGTGGATACCTCATCCCATTCAAGGTAGAACAGGGACAGTCTGATCTGCTGGGTGGCAGTCCTGCTCATGGCAGGGGCTTGGAACTAGATGGTCTTCAAAGTCCCTCTCCATCCAAGGCATTCTGTGACTAAGAAATGCAGAAGCTGTGTTATGAAAAGCTAGGTTCTTCTTAGAAAAGCTAAGTTTTTTGGCTTAGGACATTTGATCTTTTGCAGCTTACTTTCTTGTAAGATGAAGAACACAAACAGGTTTAAATGTCATTTATTGAAAATCTCAGGGGTTTGCATAATTTTATTCAACATCCACAAATATTAAAATGTGTAATTTTGAATACAAATACCATTAAGAAAAAAATTATAGATATCATGTCCTTTCTAAATTTTATACAGTCAAAAGCAAACTACTTCTCAAAATCCAAATGAAATGTTATTCCATGACAAGTTTAAATGCCACATCCTTCACCTATAATACACATTCCAGCTGCCACTATCAAAGCATTTGTAGCTTTTTGCTGTATGGTTTTCTACAGCAAGCCCTGAAGAGGGAGAAAATACAGTAAGCTTTCTTAGTTATAAAATAATTTCACCTCAACTCTGCTGACAGTTGTATTTTCCTTCTACCAGGGACTGCTGTCTATATTAAAAGAAACTGTTGAATTTTGCCTTATCAGAGAGATCTTCATTCATGAGCAGCTTAAGGCAATAAACCAGACTGAACAAAGATAAATGATGTGCCAACAAATGGCCTGTTTTGCTAATGGATTTATAACCTCTATCAGAGAGGCACAGCAGAGTTCCTGGGGAACGTAATTCCCATTGGGAAGCGTCTCCAAAATGTGGCAGAGCTTATCTGTTGGAGGTCTAAGCTGAAAGCTGGAATCCAGTAGCCTTGATGTAAGAGGTAGATGTCTTAGAGCTTCACTGAGCTGGTTCAGCATTTTGTAGGTGGTTTGTAGGTACAACATGTAGCATCATGTTGTGATGCAAGTGAAGATTCTTTTAGCAAAAGGGACAGGCCCCTAAGAATCCTTATTCTCTCACCCTGATGGGACCTGATCAATAGCTCAGAAGTTGACTCCAATGAGCTTTGGCTTATGTCCTAATGCAGCTACACGTATGTACTGGTGGTGGGAGATGCATGGGGAAATGGCAGTACAATACTATTTGCTACTTCATCAGGAAGAATTAACATTTCTTAGACTTTATTTTGATTGCAGGAATAAACTTTCTAATTCACAGCGTTATGGGGAAAGAGAAGATATGCAGCATGTAAAGAGAAACACACTTATTTTGGACACAGCTTTACCAAAGGAAAAGGTAGCTCAATAGCCTTTGGAGTTCTCTAGAACAAGTTCTGAATGGAATAATACTTCTAGTGATAAAAATTACTTAAAGATATTGTTGCTGGGTCCCACTGTCTAAAGTTGAAGTGGCATTACTATGTACTGTAGCCCTTACTGCTTTATCTGAAGCAATTGTTTCTTTGTCTAGTGACCCTGTCTTTTCTCCATTAAATCACTTCTATTCACAGGAAGCGTTTAAAATTGCAATTCTGCTGTTCATGCCTAGGTCCAAGAACAGGCACAGTGCTAATACACATACTGTCTTTAACACATCTATACAGGAATTCAGTGACTTGGCACACTGTAAAAACGAGTAAGTTTGAACTCTATTTAAAACTAGTTAACTATTACACATCAGGGGTTTTTTTGCAGAAATGCTCCATAATCTTACTATGCTTTTTTTATCTGGAAAGCATACAGTCATTAGAAATTTGAATTCTGAATTTATTGCTCACTTAATGTCTTATCTATATAAACAGCTGGATATGCAAACACTGCTTACTTGGTTGAGTGTACTCACACATGTAGAAGAGTTGTTATGGTAAGCAAAAGGAGAATGCATAATTGAACAGCTTTGGTTTTTGAAGCCTATGTAAATCACTTGATTAACTGCTGAATTAGTCATGGACATGTAGTAGACAAATAAAAAATAAATTGGCAAATAAAAGGGATTTTGAGACTTCGAAAAAAACCCAAACGTTTGTTTTCACATACCATGACCCCTTTCCCTTTATTAAAGGGAAAAGAAATAACATCTGAAATAACTACTTGAAAAAATACTATTATAGGAGGTTACAATATGTAGAAGTTCATAACCCACACTTCCAGGTGTGTGTGCTTTTATCTGTATACAATATAGTTGTCTCTCAAATCTCATGTAACAGACAAAAAAGAAATAGGGCTGTACAATTATAGAAGAGTCCTTCAACAGAAATCACTTATTTTCTCCAGTTCCCTTCAACATCACTTTCACATTGACAGTGCTTCTCTTAAAGTGCTGATGTTAATCATCTATATATTAAAATAATAAAAAAATCTCATTTTGTTCTCCCAATGTTTCCATGGGATGCTTTACCCACAAGGTGAAGATTTTTTAAAACATGTAACTTTGAAAATAAGTGACTGTCACCAGGCTGCTCTCATGGGCTACAATTTTTAGGCATGTGTAAATTTGTTCGATGTTAACCAGCAAACCAACTCATATCTAAAGTTACCATTTAAAATTTTATGTGAACATGAAAAAAACCCCACCAATATTAACAATATTTTGCGTATGTACCAAGCATCCTGTGCACTGTTCAGTCAGTAACAATCATTAACAAATGCTATAAGCATAAAAAGTGTTAATAGCAGCTGCAAAAAAAATAATGGAAGAACTTGGGACAAGGCATTCTGTTCATCTTTTTTTAAAAAACAAACAAACAAAAAACAGATTTGAAAACCTGATGTGGCTACTGCCTATTCGAAGGACTCTCAGAGGTTTCTTTTTCTTACATAAAGCAGTTTCTTGCCCTCCCTTACCATGTTACACTGTTACAATCATACTGAATGTTAAGTTCTACTTTTTCTCTTATCTTCAAAGAGACTTTTCAACATGTAAACCTGAACAGCTGATACCACCACCATTACTCCCAAGTTGACCATGGACCAGAAATTCACTCTGTCAAAGTTGCTTTCTTGTATGTTTCGGTCACGAGCTTCAAATGCTCTGAGCAGGGTCTGAATCTGGACGCTTTTGCTCAATCTGGCTTTGACGCTGTTGATGGATTCCTAGTAAGTAACAAAAGAATATTTTTAGAAAATTAAAAAGCACCTTAAATTGATAGCTTGCAATTCATACAAAAAATACTGGATTAGTACTTTAAATTTCTTGCCAAGAAGTCAGTTAGTTTAAGATCTGTACCTCTTCAGAGTTTCGATTAACTCATTTTAGACTGTTTATCATAGAATTGAATTGAAAGGAATTTTTAAGGGCCATCTAGTCTAACTCCCCTGCAAGGAACAGGGACA